TATATATATATATATATATATATCTCCCAAAAATTAATTATTCCATTCTAACCATAAGTTATTTTATTGAATAACAAAATGATTTAGAAAGTCATCATTTAATTCAATATAAAATGTAAAATAAAGGCCAAAATATTGAAAATACTTTGTCATTTAGAACCGCACGTTGGAAACATTTCTAATCAGAATCAATAATTATTGTAGAAAATTGGATTGAATCCCAATGAGATCCAAAGAATCTTTATAGTTGGAGTAATCCGGACTTGGAGTTTTATTCTCGAAAAATATCGCATTCGATATTTCTATGAAAATCTATAATTCATGTTACATATACTACAGCTTTTCATCGAAATATCGTATACGATATTTTTCAAGAATACAGCCCTAAAGTCGAGTTTGATTTTGTCGAAGCGGATAAGCAACGAGCCAGGTTGTATTCTCTAATAAATCAAGCCGGATCAGATGCTATCGAGCCTTGATATGCAGGATTACACAGATTTTCTCAGATCGCGGTTGCGCATCATGGTATGCAGTGTGAAAGCGACACCTCGACGACGCCAATTGCACCCTCCGGCTGAAAGGAAGGCCGATTGATCGAGAAGACGATCGTCCCGCGACTTGCGTTTCCTCCTGGAATGTACTCGTCGCGCGTGCCTCGTCGCAGCCTCAGGAGGAAGTCCTTCGGTCGCGAGGCTGTGGCAACGGCGATAAAGCACGAACCTGTCTCGCAGGGGAACGACAATATGCGCGCCGTTCGAGAATTTCACGCAACGAGGGAGTAGCGCGCCGAGGTCGCCGAGCGCGAGAGAGAAAAGAGTTCAAAAGGTCAATGCCTTCCTAGGGGCAGAGGGGGCTGGAGGGGGCGCAAGAAGAGGGATTACGCGGGAGGGAGTCGCGATACTACAAAGTGCTGTCGCGCGCTGTTACTTTCTAAAAATACGGATCTCATATTTGAGAGAGAAAGAGAGATAGAGAAGGAATGATAGGTGACTCTCGAGGATGCCTCCCGAGCAACTTGAAAACGCGCGCGAGATTGCAACACGATTAATTCGAGGAAACTTTCGAGGCTCGAGGTCAAGTAAGGCAAATATCCCATCGATTGAGAACGTGTCCTAATTTAGGACATAATCCTAAGTTATCCGTATAAAAAATTTCTTGGCATCTAATTGGGAATCAGCTCGATTTTCCAAAATAATTATGGATTCTGATCCTGTTCTCAACATGCAATTCCAAGTAAAAAAAAAAACTCAAAATGTTTTCCTAATATTTTCTTCTGGTCTTTGTTTTACGTTAGAATTAAATAAAACATATTGATTTTCCAAATAATTTTATTATTCAGTAAAATATATTTTAAATATATTAAAATTTTTAAATCAATATTTTAAAAATATCTTATTTTTTATATATTATTCTATTTAATAAAATATAAAATAGTTATTATAAAATATAAAATATGAAATAGTTATTTTATTCTATTGAATACAATAGTTGGTGTAAAAATGGGATTCTCTATTTGATGTCATAAAAGTATACCGACTGGAAATATTACCAACTGAAAAAAAAGCACGAGTAACCATTGTATTTTTGTTTTAATTTTAGACAGAGAACCCCCATGTTTGGGTTCAAAATGAAGTTCTCAATTACCATCGTAGTAGAATAATCAATTTTGAGACAAATTTTGCCATTCTAATCGGAATCTATGATGCATCTGGGAAAATCCTGGAAAATATCTATGCGGAAAATAATATACTTGTAAATTTTTACAAATTAATATCTCTAAAAAGCCCTTTTTGTTAAAAGATACACTATATTATAATATTATTTAATGAGCATTCGATTATTGAGTCTATATTGTTCAGTAACTAAAACATGATTAATTTTTCAGTTCAATTAACGATATAATCGACATAATCTAATATTCCACTAAAATTATAATTGATATTAATTGATTATATTTAATTTCCTATTATTTATCGATCATTGACAGAAAGTAAAGTTTTATGTAAACGTCAGTTTTATTAGTAATTCTATTATTTATTAATAAATAACGCAAAACTAATCGTGCTTTCTTATTAGCTCAGTCAGGAGACATTTACCTTACGTGTGCGTCTCGGATTAATTAAAATTACACGAGACGAGATCCACGCACCCGCGAAATCGGCGGAAGAGTGAAGATTTCGTCTAACAAGAGAAGGGTTAACACGTCTGCTAAATCGAAGAAAATCGCTCGAAAATCGTTTCTTCTCGGGCGAACCAGTTGAAACATGAAAGCCGGTTACGCGAAAAACTGGCAAAAATTGGCGACGTGTGATTAAGTGAAATTCATGTCGCGCTTAAAGAGGACAGGATTATTTTCGCTCCGCCTCTCTTGAACGGGGGCGAGGAGGAGGAAGAAAGGAACACAAAGGCCCCCGACACAGCGGCGGTGATGAAGACGAGCAACGCGGCACGACACGACGCGACGCTATCCGTTCTAATTATGCCGCTTTAATTACAGAGAATTGCCGTCCTTTTCCTCTACTTTTTACTTGCGCCGCGACCCGTGACGACACTCGCGACGTGCCGCGGCACTTTTGCACCTCGCGTCGACGCACCGTTGCAAATTGGAGGCAAGAGTTAATTCGATGTTAAGTATCCGTCTCCTTTGACGGTAACCCGACATCTTTATCTTTCTATACGCGATAATGTAACAATCGCGAATTTTATATAGTAGAAGTATTAAAAGATTCGATGCAAAATAGTGACAAGACTTTTTAATAAAAAATAATTTTAAGAATGAATTATTCCATTTCAAATATTTACATTTAAATTTTTCTACACACACGGGGAAAATATAGTAGTAAAAATTGCGTTAATATTTTTTTTAATGCTAGACTATACTGCTAAATGATAGCAAAAATTACTACAAAAATAGTAAATTTGATGATATCTACTTGATATACGATATAATACACATTAAGTAATTATAATGATCTTGTAATAAAAAGTCAAATGTACATAAGTATTTATAAACATGTAATACTATATCTATAATTAAATATATAATTTCAGGTATAATTCTCTATGCTCCAAAATTACAAAACTTTGGTTATAATTTTTACTACAATATTTTTTTCTGTTAACCGTGAAAAATTACTGAGTTTATATATTTCTACAATGAAAAAAAAATATCTATGAATAAAAAAATATTTATTCGATGGATACTAGTAACATATTAACTTATAATAAAAAATATAAATATAAATAAATATAAATTTAAAAATAAATATAAATAAAAATATAAATATAATGTTTTAAATAAAACATATAAAGTATATTTTTTAAATAAAAATATATATTTTTTAAGCATTAAATCCTCAGAAGTAATTGTTTATTCTATTTAAATAATAAGATTTAGATTTAAGCTATATATTATAATACTTATACCGAATAAATATTCTTTATTTTTTAGATATTTTTTTCAATGTATAGAAAATTAAATATATTTTATACGAGATTTTAATAATGTTCAATAATAATGAAAAAATAATTATTTCACTTCGAGTCTTACCAACTGAACATTTTTATCTAAAAAAAATGTTCGAATTTATATATTTATATAGAAAATATTTATATAGAAAATTATATAGAATTTTAATTATGATTTTATACGAAAATTCAATAATATTTAATAATCATGAAAGTAAGTAATTATTTTATTTTAGATATTTCCGTCTAAATTTTCCTATCTCAAAAACTTTTAAAACTTGTACATTTATATAGAAAAATTCAAGCTTCACAAGCAGTGATTTTACACAAAAGTCTATAACGAAAGAATGCTACATTTATTAGTTAAGAAATTGAGAAATCGCGAGACAACAAGTAACGCGCGACTGACTCTCAAAGAAAAATCTATCTCGTATTTTCGAGAGCAGTAAGAGCTCCTTCGCGACATGAAGGGTATAACATTTGGAAACTGTATCACGTAAAAAAACGTCGCATGTAAAAAAAAACGGTCGTACACTTTTTATGAACTTACGACACTCTCCGGCTCCCGCAAGGCGTGGACGCGGTTCTCTGCGAAGCTCCACGAAAGCGTAGGAAACTCGCACACGCACGTTGTGTCCTCTCACGGCACTATGTTTGGCGTTCGCACACGAAATTTATGCTTCCTGTCCACGCTCGTGGACGAGCTTCACGCATGTGTGACCGCGCGCCCTGCGTACGTGCGTATGAACAGACCACGCGTCTGTGTTATGTGTGTGCCTGCGACCTTGCATCCTTACGCGCGCGATTGCCTAACATTCCATTCTAAACAACAAAAAAGAAACAAAATTTCAACATTATACTTTTAAGTTACAACCCTTTTTGAGGAAAATTTTACTGAAAATCCACAGTACACGCCTTATATACTATGGATTACTATGGAAATTTTCCTCGAAAAGTAGCTTTTAGGATGCAATCTAATATTGTAACAAATTGTTTATCACACTGAATAAAATTCACACTAATAATCCCCCTTTTTTCTGTTGTTAGAGAATATATAATAGAATATATAATGTGCAAGCATGTTGAGAGAGAAATTGTCTTATGGGGAAATGTCTCACCGCGAGTCTCTCGGTCGTTTAGTGAATCAACTAATATTTTTCTTCTTTAGACAGAGAGAATGTTATAGCCTTTCATATTTTTTGAAAAAAATTCCAAATTGCTTGCAATTTTGCTACGTTTTTAGCAGTGTTCGTATTCTTTTCAAATTTTGAAATTCTTTTCAATTTTGCGACTTTATTAGTGCAGAAATAGTCTGTCAGTAAAGTTTATATCGCCAGAAATAATAAATTTCACTAAAAGCATAGCAGATTTTTTAATTACTAAAATATAAATAGAACTATAAGTATAAATAGAACTTATGAAATAAAAGGATAGTCAATTACTGTAAAATGTCGACCTATTTTTGCAAAATTCTATAACAATTTTCATTGTAAAATCCTCTGAATTTTGATATGATTCGTTATACTTGATTAATAAGTAATTTCATCAGTTGAATAAATTATTTCTGTTTACATGTATGACCGTTAATTAATGTTGGTTATTGATTTGGCAATTATTCTTACCGAAAAAAATTTTAATCGACTAATCATCAATAGTAATTTCGATCGCATTAGTAAAAATAGGTGGTCAAAATCGTCGGTAGTAATGCTAAAATTCCATTTGCACAGACGAGGAAAATACAAAAAATTCAAGATGTTCTCTCTCTCTTCCTGCGCGAGATGTAAAAATAATATTTTTAAACGAGAATTGCACTGGGGTAAGGGGGAGGGGTGACGATGCACCTTCGAATTCTCTTATATATGTGAAGGCGAAAATGAAGCGATTTGGGAAGACTCGCGCGGGCGGAGAACGACCGCAGGTGGGTGTCGTGGGCTGGTCGAGGTACCAACGAACAACGAATATAATTTCCGCCAACGTCAAATTACCTATTACGTCCGTCGGGATTTTCGTGGGTTTACGACGTCGCAATGGGAAACAATGCGGCACACGTCTATTACCCGACAAACGGTTCTCCTCGGAGAGAAAGAAAGAGAGATAAACTGTGGTGTCATTATCATCCGCCAACGTGAAACACATCGTCGATAGACTATTTCTGTTGGAGTTTTCGGGATTCCGCGATATCGTATCCGGAAACGGCGATGCTTGTTCACTGTCCAAAAACTCGAAAAGCAAGCGAAGTTTCGGAACGCGAAATATTGATGACGTTTGTCGACCAGATCGTGTTTTCGTACTTTGTAACAGAATTAACTGAAAAATTCAGGTCGGATTAAACGAATTCAACTTTTTTTAACTCAATTTTCAAGGTTATGCATGATAAATGAACTGTCTTGATTCTTTCAGTGAAATTTCCGAGTTGCTCAAATTTCTTATTTGCACACTGAGGAAGAAAATATTTAAAAAATAAGAAATATTTATACTAATAACATATTTACTCGTACTATATGCATATTTTTACATTAAAGAAAAAATTTCTTTCAAATGAGAAAAAATATATTTTTCTAAAACACTACCGGTGCTTTTCATAAGAGTAATTGTTCATTCTATTTAAAAGAATTTAAATTTAAGTAAATATGTTATTAGTATACAACAAATCAATATTTTATTATTTTTCAGATATTTTCTCTCAGTGTATAAAATTTAATTCAATAAGCTAAAAATTTAATTTAATAAGCTAAAAATTTTATTTAATAAGCCGATCATAAAATTGAGTCGATATATTAATAGTCGTATTTAGCATCTGATTTAATTAGATTTTTTAGGGATGAAATTGCTTGTATTAAGCAGTTAAATCAATCTCTTGATAGTTAAAATTATTATAAAACAATTATATGATGCATAAGACTATGTTTCAGTTTTGGTACTATCTTTCATTGCACACTGAGAGAAAAAATGGTTGTTCTAACTAAAATTATTATTTTTTACCCCAACCATATTTTTCGTAGTAAAATAGTAATACTAAATATGCATATAATGCTATTATCATTAAAAATAATAGTAGAATTTAATAAAAAAATAATTTTCCTGACCATAATTTATAGCAATTATTTCTCTTATTGTGATTATAGTTACAAACACGAAGTATTTTTTTCTTAGCACACAAAAAATATTATTTTACTGTTAAGAAAAGCAATTTGTCATTTGTAACATGTAGCATATTGACTATGTATTTTTCTGTATGTCGATAAAATTTAGCAGTTCAAAATCCTCCATAAAATTATTGGTTAAATCTGAGTTTCGTTCGATTGCAGTTCGCACGGCAAAATCTGCGTAATCCAGGAACTTGGATCTTTCTGTCCGATATTCTTTTCAGTGCACCGTAATTATAAATTAATCAGTCATAATTGTGGGCGGGTTCAAGCTTCTGATATCAGACTCGTTTCCGAATTGGGGCTGCCGGTTGCTTTCGGGGAAATGGTTAGCAACGAAAGCGACGGCCGACAATTAATGGAGATTGAGGGTCTTCTTCGGACCCGCATATCTTCCTCACTCTTCCCGGAGAGCCGTCATACGGGCGCGAATTTGTGAGACGACGACGAAAACCGGCAACTCTGAAGACGGCTAGTCCGCGTATGCGTTTTGGGAACGATTGCAGGATGGAAGATTGCATTGCGATCGAAAATGCTGAAGGCTCGCGCATAGCTCGACAGCGAGGATCGGAAAAACGGTGAAAGCGAGCTAGGTAGCGCGAATGTCGAGGGTGTCGCCTCTTTGATCGCCTCTCTTTGATCTCCCCCGGCTGACACCGTTCCGATTCGGTTCGCGTAACGCACGTAGCCGTGCAACGCGAAACGCGTGTGTATTATGTCAAGTGCCTAGTTACATGGAAATGTGCGCGGAATTAAAATGCAGCGTATCCTCGAGAGAAGAGAAGAGAAGCGGCGCGTTGACGACGTCTACCTCCCGCGAGACGTGCTTGCACTTCGCAAGTCTCCCAGAGAATTGTGAATTAGGAGTATTTAAAAATGTCGCACGTGTCGTCGCGAAAAGAACGCGCGGAATGGCTCGAAAACAGGGTGAGCTTCCGTGTGAAGAAACAGGTCGAGATTACAGGTGTTTCTTTTATAGGGAAATATGACTAATAATGTAGAGGAGACCGGGGTTATATAGCCTGAGGGCTATGTTGCTCATGTGCTTCTTTTAGTATTTAACTTGAGGAATAATGTGTGCAAAATCGCGAAATGATCTTTTTAAAACGTAAATACTTTTCCCTGAGTTTCATTGAAATCGGAATAATATCACAGTTAACTCTACAGTCGTCGCGCTACTTTTTGAACACGAGTCGACGCATGGGATCTTGAGAGACCCCAATATAAAAAATTATTTTATACCTTTTATGTTGAGAACTTAGATATTTTCTTTGTTTAATTAGGTTTTTGGGTTCATCTAAAATATAAGAAAAAACTATTTTGGATATAATATTCTCTTAAAGACCCCATACGACAACTGTAGAGTTAATAAATGGAAAAAACTGATTTGGTATTGTATTATCTAAGTAAATTTTCGAACCTCTCAAAATTTTCCATTAAAATTCATCATGCCTGAATCAAATTAAACAATGTACTACGGTGAAATTTCTTGCAAATGTATGATATACTGTTTCTGGTAATAAATGCAACTTTCATTTATAAAATTATTGAAATATATGCGTAATTAAAAATGATTGAAATATATGATGGACCGACATGTGGTCGGACGAGGTAAAGGTAATTGGCCCATAAAACCGGCTGGAGAGACCTTTCGCGGAGATTCTGGAATTATTAATCAGAGCTGCATTCTAAAACGTCCGTTTTGAGGAAAATTTTACTTAATACCTATAGTTCACGTTACATATACTGCAGAGTATCGAGTAGAATTTCTTCAAAAAGGACATTTTGGGATGCAATTCAGAATATACAGTGTGTCCCATAAGTTCGGCAACGGCAAGAAAACTCGGCGGGGGAGCATTTTAGAGAAAAATGTTTCGAATAAAAGTTGTAAGGCTTAAAAAGTCGCATTTAATGACAGTATTTAATGACAGTTATTTGACCTAAGATTACGTCGCCGGACAAGGTCAACTTTGCTTTTTTAGATAGAAATACATATTTTTTATTACGGCATTTTATTCTACGTGAAAAAGCAAACTTGTTTGAAAAAATTTTTTATACGACCTCTATTTTCTAAGATATTTACGTAAATATCTAAAAAATTATTGGTTTCAATAATTTTTTACTTGAATTCTATCAACTTTACCGAAAAATATCAAGAGATAAAAATTATTTATTTTGTTCTCATAGAGCTCTGAGAATTTTTTCAGAATTTTATATTAATTTTTTAGTACTGCATTTTCTTGCATTTTCTTGAAGTACTAAAAAGTTAACACAAAATTCTGAAAAAATTCTCAGAGCTCTTTGAAAACAAAATAAGCAATTTTTATCTCTTAATATTTTTCGGTAAAGTTAATAGAATTCAAGTAAAAAATTATTGAAACCAATAATTTTGTAGATATTTACGTAAATATCTTAGAAAATAGAGGTCGTATAAAAAATTTTTTCAAGCAAAAGTTGTTTGCTTTTTTACGTAGAATAAAATCCCGTAATAAAAAATATATATTTCTATTTAAAAAAGCAAAGTTGACCTTGTCCTGACCTTGGCGACGTCATCTTAGGTCAAATAACTACTGTCATTAAATGCGACTTTTTAAGCCTTACAACTTTTATTCGAAACATTTTTCTCTAAAATGCTCCCCCGCCGAGTTTTCTTGCCGTTGCCGAACTTATGGGACA